ATTATTTTTATTGTTATAAACTAAAATTTTAAAAATAATAATAAAAATCTAAATTTTTGTATAAATATTTTAAATATTCAAAATAACTTGTGCAAAGTTTTATTGCGATTCACTGAATAATTACTATGATATTGAACAAATAAATATTATTTTATTTATTTACTGAATAATTCATTCATCGCAATATATAACTTTACATAATCTTAAATACAAAATGTATTTATATTAAAAAATTGAGATTTTGTCATTTACTTTATAAAAAATACATTTCCATACATTTTTATTAGAACGCAGATTAAAAAAATACTATTATTTATTAAAATAACTTATAATCTAGACAGTAAACCGTTACCAAACTTGTTGTATTATTTTTATGTGATTTAGAATAATCTGTAATTTTTTGTTATTATGTTGAAATATCACTCATACATCCTTAACATTAATACATCGAAAATCGAAATATATTGACGTGGAAAATTGTACAAAGAATTATTTTAAAAATAAAATGAATATTTAAAATATTTTTGCCCGTGTTTTATTGCATTTTATATGATTTACTGTTAATACCAAGTTATACTGAATCTAACCTTCTTATCATTTCTTAAAATATTTAATTATTATCATTATTTTATAGTTGTACATTATAGTATATGTAGTTATATATATGTGAGCCAGTCATAATAATTGTTTTAATCCGTAACGTGACATTTTTTGATCGTCCGTTACAAAAGTCGCCGGACTTGACCGCACAGAGATGCGGTCTTGATCTTGCATTCTTCAGGCCTAGAAGGGCGAGCATACCCGCATATATTAATGCCTATTGCACACTGGACGCGATGAAAAATGAGCGACGAATAAAATTTGAGCTAAATTGAATAATCTTTCTGAGTTAAATAGTTTTATTTTATTCTTATAGTTAAATTAACGAGATATTGTGTAAAAGCAGTGACGACATGTAGGAATAATCAGAAATAGCTCAAATTAGGTGCAACATGACATTATAAATTTAAGAGTGTATGCACAATATATAAGAAGGCATTCAGGATTAAGTTTATCCTAATCTGTTTTAACTTATCCATTTTAAGACAACGGATGTATGGAATGCTATATATATTTGTTCGTATATTTTTATTAAATTAATGCATATATGCATTTATAGCTATATAATATATTGATAATATATTGATAATGAAATTATCACACATCCGTTATCTCATTAAAAACATTAATTCGTTACTCACCAACCCGACGTGCAACAGCGGAGTTACATTTGCAATGTGGCTGCGATGATTCTATAACAAAAACATAGTAAAATTCAAATTATAATAAACCAGGAAGAACACAAACAATATTTAAAAAAAAAACGCAAAGTTCTCTTAATATAATTTTCAAAAGGTATAATTTTTATAAGCATCAAATTTTTAAATTCATCATTGAGTTAGATATTTATAACATAATATTATACATTTTTTAAAACAGATCTTAAAAATTCGTACACATAAAATTTCAAAATAATTTTAAAATAATCTTTTTCTAATTATCATTTTTATTTATTGTAAAATAGAACGACTCAAGAATAAATAGAAGAAAGATATTGATTTTACATAAGCAAAAAATATTTACTAGAGGCATCGGGCTCCGCCGGTGCCCGATGCCTCTCCCAGACTTCCTCCTCCTCTTAGAATTGGGTTGACAACCTCTTGCACAGGACACTCGCGAATAATACATTATAATCGCGCGCGGACTAATGGTTTAGAAAAGTCTTTCGCGTCAAACTAGAACTTTATCGAATAGGTTTTGTAAAAAGTCCATTAGTCCGATAACTTCAACGGCACTCCCGAAGCAAACGCGCGACGCGACGAATCCGGCTATATGGTTCACTTACAATTATATCGACGACGAGGGTACGTTAGTTTCCCCGTCATTTTTACACGAAGAGAATGATTTTATTCAAGTATTTAAAAATTTACCTACATATATCATTCAGACAGATTTGCAAATTTTTAATTAATTCAGGAAAACCATTCTTTTCATATATATCCCCTGGGTACTGAACCCTCTCACCACGTCAAGGTTATATCCGTGAGAGGGAAGATATCATCTTAAAAATGTAATATATACAGCTATTACCTATATTATTATGTAATTATCAGTTAACTTTTAAAAGTGTATATCAAATTCACATCAATTTGTCATTATTGCAAAATAAATTCAGATAAGAAGGAATGAATCTCTTATTACGATGTCTGTAAGATATGATTACAGTCAATGGAATGCTATAGAGATTAAGAAAAAAGAGAAATATTTTTTTTATTATCAAAAATAGTTTTAAAATTGTGCTCAATTTTTTATCATATCACGAAAGATATACAAAAACAAAAAATTAATTAAATTATTAATTACATTAATATATTATTATATTAAATGTGAAAGTACATATGAATCGCATGAATTACAGTGATACAGTTTATACATAGTATACAAATCGAGAATTATACTCAAGCGAGAGAAAATTTTACGTTAAACAAAAATAATTGCTGTCTCGAAATATCGCGAAATAGTAATAAATTCTGTTTTCCATCGTATTTTGATTGCAAACAAACCATACGAAATATCTGTTCCATGACACATGATTGTCATCTCGATCTTTTTATGAATAATTAATCGTACAAGCTGTGGCAAATATACTGTGAATATTGATAAAGTACAACGTTTTGTCCTATATCTAGCATTTTTCGCGATTACGTTTTAAAATGAAATGTGAAGAACGACACAAACCCTAAAGTCACGTGCTGATCAGCTAACTGTCGAAATATTAACGCGCATCACAAAGTAAGTGAAATAATACATCTTTTACATTTTTAATATTCTCCGAATAAATTTTATCATTATACGATTTTTGTTATACTTCTTACATTCGTTACGCACACACACACCTCATGAATACCTTAGATATTTCAATTGTGTTACAATAAGCTATTATTAATTCGTAATCATTTTTTATTACAAATCCGCGCAATGTACACAACATTTTAAATAAAAGATTGATACCTTGTAACTTTTTGTTACTTTCGAATCGTTTAATTCTGTCATCTTCTCGTGTCTTATTTAGCATTCTTAATTTGGAAAAGGTAATATATAATTATATTTAAATTATTTATCGCTAAATGTATATAAATACCATTCATAGAATGCTAGAAAGCTAGAAAGTTCTAAAAAAGTCGATATAAGAAATTGTTTCATTTCGCGATAAAAAATACTAATTTATAAATTATACTATTTTTCATTTAATATAAATACAAGTTATCTATATACTAATATATAGCGCTTAGTATTTAAATAAAATTATTTAAAATATATAGTTTTAATAAAAAGATAAAGATATTATTTAGTATTTATTATTTTAAATAACTTCTTCTGATCTACTTCTTAAGTAATATTTCAAATAAGTTCTCAGAACTTATTTCATATTTTTCAAATAGTCGTATCAGTCAGAGAGAGTCAGGCATATTTAAAACAATTTTAAAAACAAAATAATTCAAAAGGACTACAAGCCAAGCAGGATTGTCGTGCTATAATAAAACAATTTTATTCAAAATGTGTATTTTATAAATGAAGATAACAAGGCAGTTATTTAAGTATTTTATATTAAAAAAAAAACTGTTTTTTATTTAATACTTTATTTAATACTTTTATTTAATACTTTAAATAAGTTTTTGGAATTTCGAGTACGACGTCTCGTATTATCTCTGGTATAGTGTATTACAATAGTATTTGTCGGAAATATGTTCCAAAAAGGATTAATTATTTGAAGAAGAGGAACGGCACAACTACCTACCTACACAAGCGTCGGCAAGTGTATAATCACTGATGATCACGCGGAGAGTGACTGTATCGACTGCGTGTAAAGTCTTGCGCGGGCATTCGAGCGGGTCGAATGTGTGTTTCGCCTCGCTTCGGATGTTGCATCACCTCAATCATATTTTTTGAAAAGCGTGGCTTCGACTGTGCATTGCATTACATCACCTATAGTCCCTTTATTCGTCTGTGCGGCGTCGAAGCGTCGTAGTCACAGGCGCCCACCCAGCAAACGAGAATGGGTTGAAATGAATTGAAATGGATTCAGATTTTCAAAAATATTAATTCATGAATGTTAAAATGAATGCTTTTTAATTCTGAATGCATTTTTATTCATTTATAGGAATTGCATGGAGCATATCTGTGCCTTTCAATCTAAAAATAATATTAGCTTTTTCTGTGCATTGTGAATACTGTTCAAAATTTTGAATAGGAAATGCAGTTTTTCAATCCAATTGCATCCAATTGAATCCAATTAAATCTAATAAAAAGTATTCGCTATTTAAAATACGCATTCGGATAGAAAAAAATTTCAATCCATTTTAATCCATTCTCGTTGAGCCAATTAGACATATAGAATACAAGAATTACAAATCACACACACGGTTTTACTTTAACAATTAATATCATATTTTAATATTAGTACTTAGAATTCAACAAATGTCGCATATTGCATTGTGAATTTAAATATGTAATTTGCAACAATATGCAATCTATTTTGCGGTGCTCCTGATGAAAATAAATCAATGGAAGCATGTTGAAACATATATATTGAAGCATGCGACGCGAACAAACCTAGAAACTTTAAGTGATTGATTTTCTTATGTACTATGCGTTATGCAAAGTCTGTTAAGTTTAAATCAAATTTCGTGCACTCTACTATCGTGAGAAATATAAAAACGCATGCGCACGTAGCCAAAGCATGAAAATGATCACAGTACTGAACATACGACGTGTCGCGGTATTTCGCAGCTGTGACAGATTTTCTAACCTCAATGGTAAACTTTCACACTTAATATTTCGGTTATCAGGGCACAACGACGCTTATTTCTGCCAGATTCTTTCGTTTCATCGCGAAAACGCGTTGAATAAGTCGAATTTATTGATTTTTAGGATGTTGTAGTTAAACTGTATAATTATCTAATTTACATCGTTTTTTAAGTACATTGCTGAAATTAAGGTAATTTAATAGAAAGTTGCTGATTAGTTTATGTATTAAATGCTCGGTGTAAAAGGGATCAGTGAAACACGATGTAATATGTATCCTAATTGAAAAATAGGCTATGTCAGAAAAAAAATGTTAATTGATAAACAAGTGTTGACATACTGTCAAATTGTACCTCCTTTTAAATTCTTCTCTTAGCAGATCTTTGATGCACAATCTATTACGCTTGACATGTATAACTGCGAATAAAGTAAAAAGAAAGCGACGATAAAAATAATGACTGACGTGGAAAAATCCAGAGCAATGGAGATTCAACTGGAAACTGAAAAACAATTGAGGTAATCTCTTTATGTATTTCTTTAGATCAAGATAATTTATATTACTGCAATAAGGATATCACATTATATATTATTTTAAATTCAAGAACAGAATTCTGCAAATAGTTTTTAAAAATAACCCAGGAATGGAAGAAATTATATCTATGTAATCAGAGCAAGTTAAAAGCTAAATATCTATCCAGTAAAAAAATTGTTTTAATTAAGCCATTTATTTAGATATATAATTAAAATGTTTCGAGACTCAGCGAGTGAATTTTTTATATTAAAATATGGAAGAAAATTTGCATCAGTATATTTGCAAATGTACAGTTTTTTTTAAGATACAATATCTTATGAAAAACTTATTCTTGAAATTTATTCTTCCTGAATTTTATTATATCCTGTATATTCTAAACATTTTAATATAAATTATACAGGATATCTTAAACCTATCACATCATCTACTGACAGATTCCTTGAAATCATTTTGAGATGAAAATTCTAATACCAAAATGTTGAGGCTACAATAATTTTCAAATAAGAAGTGTTTAAAGATAGCCAATCAGATTGTAAAAAAATGAACATACAGATTTATTGTATAGTCAAGATGCCTTTAGATATATCTAAATATTAACAAAGTTTAATATACAATATAATAATAATAATATATAATATATATAATATATGATTATATAAATATAATATATATATTATGTATATTATAATTATATAATACATAATATAATTTAAAAGTATTATTTATTTTTTAATAGCGAAGATATAATAGATTTCTCAGAAGCTGCAGAAAAACTGGCGG